TTCCTATCACGTCTGGCGGGGGGGGGGGGGAGAGCAACACTTGTTTTCCTTGACTGTCATATTACATATCACGACGGCGTCGGTGGCTCGAGCGGGATGATGGTCTCATGAGGCAATTGCGGGAATTGCGCAATACTTTGTTTTCTGTGGAGCATCACACAAGAGCCGGTCCCGAAAATGGGGAACCGCCTTGCATTGGCGTCATTTGCATTTCTGGGAGAGAGAAGGCGGATGGTGCCTTCTCGAGAGGACTGGCAAGCATTGGACTGGCTTCCTTCCGCCTGCCTCGCGCTTCGAGGTCGGGGACTTTGCATCGCCAGAGGTTATGGGTTACGTCAGGCAAGCTCTCATCGTCTTCCTTCGAGGTTTTTACCCAATGTACGTTAACTCGGGCCCCAGGTTCTGCACCGTCGGGCCTGGGGAGTCATGGGTGGTCAAAATAAAGCATCATTACACCACCTCCACATGACCAGTTTACACGTTGGGTTTCCCGGAAGACGACGACGATAGTTCAGACGTAACCCAGGCTCCTGTATATAGTGGCGCTGATTTCCTGCCGTGTTGCTCTCTCCCCAGTTCCCCGTCGAGCTTGCGCTGCTTTCAAGTCAGCGTTCCTTGGTTGCGCATATGCCCTTTTTCGAGACGGGCACGAGGCTAATTTCGGGTTTGTAGATGACGAGCTTCTCTCCTTGGAGGAAGTACGGTCGAGCATAGATGCTCTCGTCGCCGATGAGCCCATTGACGCCAACATCCGCCAGCCGCCCGGCGCATTCGAGCCTCTGGGTCGCGCCGGGACCCCCTCAGTCCCCCCTGGATTCTCGCTCCCGAGCACGCAACCGTCGCCAGCAATCTCGCACGCCTCTTTATCATTAATGAGTGCGGGACGTCAGACCCCTTCCATGGTGCTGCCCAAGGTTCCCGTCAAGCCTACGGCAACCATCTCCAGTCCACTCACCGGCAAAAAGATCATTGCACCCTCTGTGCCCGAGGCCAAGAAAGCCGTCAAGGCACTTGCGGCGGAGAGCGGGCTGTCGAAGGATATTGCCAAAGCCAAATCGCAAAAGCTTCTGCAGGACGAAGACTTCCCCGCTCTTAACTCCCCGAAACCCCAACAAGCGCCGATCGCTCAGCCAAAGGCGGGATCCAGCAAAGCAGGGGCGTCCGCCAGCAGAAGGTCGGCCGAGAAGGCTGCCGAAAAGCTCAAGGAAAAGGAGAAGGAAAAGAGCAAGCCTGTGGCCCCGCCTGAGAATCCAAAACCGGAGGCTCCTGCAGCCGCCGAAAAGCCGTCAGACAAGGTTGTGCAGAAGGTCGCTGAGAAGAAGACGGAGACGAGACCAGTCCCTGGTATCCTGAACATCGCGGCGGCAACCAAGGCGGCGCAGACGAAGATCCCAGAGGTGCCCGCAGTAGACAAGTCGGCGGTAGATCGGGAGTCGGCGTTCCCGGCGCTCCCAACCCCCACGCCGGCGTCGGCCTCGTCACCATTCAACCGCGCGGCGCCAAAGACCCTTCGAGTGGTGTCGACCCCCAAGACGGAAACACCGCCTACCCCGTTCTCGATATTGTCGACCCCGGTTGTGCGGTCAATGGCTGCGTCCTTTCGCCCGGACACGCCCGTGAGCGAGCTGATTTCCGACAGTGCATCGATCATCTCGGCTTCTATCTCGGCGTCGCGGACGAACTCCCCTCCACCGTCCAAGATTGGGTCCGCTCCCGTCCGGAACACAACCAAGAGCCAACAGCGTAAACAGCGCAAGGACGCATTGAAGAAGGACGCGGCAAGCATAGCAGCCCAGCCAGCGAAGGCCGAGACCTCTGCCGAGATTGCACCCATCATTGGCCGGAAGAAGAAGCAGAAAAAGGAAAAGGAGAGGGAAAAGGGCAGCAAGAGCGCAACCCCTGCGGCGAGCCGTCCGGACACCCCGCTGGCGCCCAAGCCGCCCGCCGTCAAGGAGACCAAAGAAGCGGCCGAAGCCAACGAGGTCAAGGAAGAGTCTTCGGCTTATCGGTCGACCGCCAACGAGACGACTACATTGATCGATGACGCGACGGTACATAAGGGCAGATTTGGCCACTCGAAGGGCAAGTCCGCCGACGGAGCAAAATATGGGGGCTCGGATCCGTTGGTGCCTCGGACCCTGCCCACGCCCGCGTCAGTTCTGCGCGACCTCCAGGAGGCGAACCTGGTTCCTGACATAGTCGACGATTTAGCTTTCTTTAAGCCGATGGCCGCCCAACTGGGCGGACCGCGCAACGATTCTAACAACCGGGACGCGGCTTCTAGGAACACCATGACCCCGACCAAGTCGATGGTCACCGAGGACGACCAGGCGTCGCTGCTCGCCGGCCACCCGGTGCGCAAGGTAGTCGACGGCGCCCGCATCCTCCTCACCCCCAATGGTGACTGCATCCGCAACCTCAGGCCCGACGAAGAAGACCGCTTCCTCGAGCTCCAGCAACTCGTCGCCGAAGCGACCGCCACCCCGGCTGCATTCGTCTCGTCCCGCCACGAAGCTGGTGGCGGCTTCAGTCTGATCAAAGGCCGCGCCGTGCCCAACGGACCCCCGAGCTACTTTCCGCCGTCTCCGGGGGCGTATCCCTCGGACCCGGTCAACAAGATCCAGCGCGAAGAAGCCATCTACTACATCAACCAGTACGTCCTGCCGCGGCTGAACCTCAATGCTAGAGACATGAGCCTGCCCAAAGCAATGTCCACCTGGACCACCGATCCGCGCGGCACCGCCGCCCAGGCCGCCGCCAACCTCAACTCGGTCGCTCCCTGGCTCTACGGCGGCATCAGCCCCGCGACCCACGACCTCGACGCTGGCGCCGCCCAGCCCGAACTCAGCTACCCGGCCCCCGTCGACGCCTTTTCCGACCACCACCACAACGCCTCCCCGCCGCACGGCCCGTACGTCGACATGGTAATCCCGGTCGACGCACACCCAAACATTGCTTCCTACGACGCCAACGCGCCCCCTTCAACCTCCACGCAACAACTTCACCAGCCACCCCCCCTGGCAGCCTCAGCGGCCCCGATCAACTTCACCTCGCCCAGCCCCTTCGGCAGCAACGTCCCGCTCATGAGCCTGGAAGATGCCGAGCAGGCGCTGTCGGCGGCGCGGAAGGAAACGGACAAGCTCGAGAAGAGCCTCAACCAGCTGCTGCGGAGAAACCGCCGGCTGCTGATGGTCGTGCCGTCGATCGGCGGGCTGGCCGGCGGCGCCGGGGCGCATTGACTAGCTGCTGCCGCCGCCTCTTCCTTGTCCGAGTCGGAGTCGGAGTCCGAGTCGGAGTCCGAGTCCGAATCGCGCTGTGACTCTGGCTCTGGCCCTGGCCCTGGTCCGGGCTCGCTGCCGCTGTTGTCGCTGCCGTCGTCGTCATCTGTTGTTGTGGGGGGTCGGGATGGGGATGGACATGGGGGGAGTGGATTGGGGTTTGGCGTGGGGTGGCGGCGGACGGGGTGGCGGGGAGGAGGAGGCGGCGGCGGCGCCGCCGCCGCGGGGACGCGGCATGATGCTGTCGCTGCGGTGGCGGTTGCGGTGGCGCTGGCGAGGGTGCTAAGGGGGGTGAGCTCGATGGGAGATGCGGCGTTTGCGGCGGTTTGGATGGCTGTGCTGCTGGTCGAGAGCGTGGTTGCGATGGCGGCGAGGGGTGCCGTGTTGGCCGTGGAGGTGGTGTGTGCTGTGCTGGACTGGGTTGGGGCGGATTACTGAGCCGGCCTCGTGGTGATGGGGGTTGTGGGACTGAGGTGCCTAGCATGGACGAGCGAGCAGTGCGTCTTGTTTGAGGGGGGTTGTGTTTATTAACCTAGTGGTGTATCTTTGTATGTGTATCGTTGTACTTGTACATTACAGATAGCTCTTTGGTGGCCGGTTGGCCGGGGGCAATGCTTTTGCGGTTGGTCTAGGCGGAGGTAGGGCATCATGGGATGATCGTCGGGGCATTTTCGGCGTTGTTTTTCGCGTCTAGACCATAGCGAGATACCATGATTTCTTTGGGTTTCTGGGAATCACTCCCATTGCTTGTAGCACTAAACGAAGAAACGAACATTCAAAAAAGTACATTTGATAATGATTATTTCACTTTGACGGTTGGAGCCCGACCTGTTCAGGGGTTGTGGCATCAGACCCGAAAAAGAAACGGAGTCGCAAACATCAAAACTTCAAGTGGAAGATTGGGCTCAATCGGGGATCGAACCCGAGACCTCGCACATCTTCTTGCTTGTTTCCAAACAGTGGGTTTTGTCCACCCGAAGCACGAATCATACCACTAGACCATTGAGCCGAATCTGATTGTTGCATGCCGGGTTCGGAAACAGGCTACATAAGGGAGTGGCGGTAAGAATGGTCGTGGGTTTGTTGGTTAGGACAAATCTACATACATTACAGGTACGGTAATATGTGGACTAGAAACTGGAAATGATAATTCTTGCGAGTTACTGTTTTCAACATACAGGCAAAGTTCATTTTTAAAAAGAAAATACGACAAACGAGGGAAGACAGTCCTGCAATGAAGCATGCTTTGAAGCAATGCACTTATGTACAAGCATGGGGTTTTGCAGACTCTCTCTCCAAGTCTCACATTAGCTGCCTGCAGTAACGATTTTCAGCAAGAACCACAAGGAAATAATTACCACCTCTAGAGTAGATTGATGCTTCTGCTGGGTTGAGAGTTGAGACTCATTCCGAGCAACAGTGATGACAGAAATACAAGACCACTTCAATCCACAAGCAGCTTCTTGGATTGGGATGGCGTGTTTGCGGCTGGCACCCCGCATTTGCATGCTTGACTCCAACCGGCAAGCAACAGCCTCGAGCACTGCAAACAGAACCATCAGACGAGAGATAAAACCCCTAACCAGGCCGTGCAGCACCACACCAGCCCCCCATCCTGAACATCAATGCGCAACGTTGCACACATGACAGGAGCCCTCGAACCCCAATACTAAGCCCGTGCATAGCCATAATATCCTCTCCGATATCGCACAAGATACAACAGGGCTGTTGGTCTAGCGGTATGATTCTCGCTTTGGGTTGCTTCAATCTGATCATGCGAGAGGTCCCGGGTTCAATCCCCGGACAGCCCCGGATTCTATCTCACTTTTGCATGCTTGTTGATATCAGCATTTGTTCAGTCTTCTTTTTGTGGATTCTTGATTGTATATACAAATCCATTCATTATATTGCCTGCTGTGTGAATCGGCATTGTTTGCATTATGCATTCCAGATGTTCGGCAACTCCAAGCAACTCCCGATCGGAGTTGTAATTGATAGACATTAAAATACAGTTTGCCCTAACACCATTCATTATTTATCTCGCTCTAGTTCCCAGCTTCTTATCTCGCAAATAAGCTAGGCCAGACCATCTCAGGCCGCGCCCTGTATCCGAGCACACGCCGCCACCCAAATCCCCTAGACACCGCCCCCTACTCCCCACCAGCATTAGAATGCGACGTCCCCGGCCGGCTCGAGCCCAGCCGCCGCAGCTTACTCCCCGCCTTGGTATTGAACAAACTCTTGACCCTCCTCAGCCTCGACATCATGTCCTTGTCCTTCTTCATCCGCGCCTCCTCATCCTCCTCCTCCGCCTCCTCCTCGTCCTCGCCCTCGTCCTCGCCCTCCCCACGCGGCATCCTCAGCGGCCCGCCCGCCGTGATTGGCCTTCGCTCGGGCGTCCTCGGCCCCCCCCCCCCCCCCCCCTCGTCCTCGCCCTCCCCACGCGGCATCCTCAGCGGCCCGCCCGCCGTGATTGGCCTTCGCTCGGGCGTCCTCGGCCCACCCTCCCCATCCCCGCCCGCACCCCCCAACCCCGTCGCAGGAACACTGCTCTTGCTTCTCCCCCGGCCCTTCTCCTTCTCCTTGTCCCCGACCGCCTTGCTACCACCACCACCAGCCTTCCCCACCTTCCCCCTAATAAACGCCTCATTCCTCAACCCCGTCACAAGCACCTCCCAGCCCGGCAGCTCGCGCTCGCGCTCGCCCCGGCCGCGCGGGCGGCCGCCCGCGCCGGGGTTGCGCTGCGCGGCGGCGTTCTTCCACGGGCAGAAGAAGCGGTGCTCGCGCAGCGGGTCCAGGTGGTCCATGGGCGCGGGCACGAGGATCGCGCGGTTGTTGTCCGGGTCCACCTCGCGCGACTTGAACATCCAGAGGCCGAGGCGGCGCAGGCAGGTGTGGCACGAGGCGGAGTTGGGCACGGGCGCGTTGTTGAGGAGCGGGTTGGTGAGGGTTTGCCAGCCGAGGAGGGCGAGGGCGAGGGCGGGGCGGTTGATGGGTGGTTGGGTGGTCGCTGTTGAGGGGGGGGAGGGGAGGGCTTTGTTCGGGGGCGGGGGCGGGTCGGTGAAGAAGGTGGGCGGGAGGTGGGTGAGGACGGTGTCGAGGTTGAGGGTGGGCGGGAGGCGCAGGTTGAATTCGTAGGGCAGGAAGGCGGCGCGCTCGCAGAGCTCGTCGTAGCGCTGGCGGAGGGTTTGGAGGGCGAGTCTGGGGTTCGGGAGGGGTAGGCGGAGGAGGGAGTCTGGGGGGGGGGGGTGTTGGTTAGTGTTCGCTGAACGAAGCCTGGGAAAAAAGAGAGGCTTACCATCGCATCCCTTCTTCCGCCAGAGACAGTCGTCGGCATGCGACTCGACAATCAACTCGGCATACTTGTCGACCACCGACGCCTCGATCTCGGATGCAATCAGCACCGAGATCTCCTTCCCGTCGACCTCCTTGCGGTTCACCCGGACCACCAGCTCGTGGCCGCACAGGGTGCACCTGACGCGCTCCTTGCCGCGGCAAACCCAGCCGCGCTTTGCCCACTCGATTTCGTTGACCCGGTCGGGCTTGGGTGTCCAATCCGTCATCTCCTGGAAAGTGGCCAGCCGCCGCACCAGCTGTTCGCGGTCGCCCGGGCAGTACTTGGGCAGCGACGGCGGCCCGTCCTTGCCGCCCGCAAGACTGGCAACGCTTGCGTGGGAAGCCCATTTCCGCAGTGTCACGTTTGAGACGGTTGTCGGTGTCCCCTGGATGCTGCGGATGCTAGCCGGCGACGATTGCAGGGTGCTGGTGTATTTTGACGGCGTCGAGGTGGGCCCGCCGACACGGCGCTTTTTGGTGAGGTCGAGGCTGCCGTCGGTCGCCATGGTCCTTGCCGAGTAGGGCGACGCGCGCTGGGACGCGGGCGACGACGCGGGATCTGTTGGGCTGTTGTCGGCGTCGGTGCGCTCGATCGAGGGTCGGTTGCCGATGCCCTGGAGGAGCGCGTTGAACTTGCGCTTGACGTTGGAATTCATGCTGGCGCGTGTTTCGTAATGCGACGCGATCGCCCTGTGCTTGCCGTTCTTTGTGCGGCTGTGGCTCGACTGCGGCTGCGGCTGCGGCTGCGAGTGGAATGGAAGCGATAGCGCAGTGCGCCGGTCACCACGGCGACTAACCCCACTATTTGTGTATGCACAAGGAGCAATGGGCTCCCGACATCTGGAGAAAGAGCCGTCTGGCTTTGCGTGATGGACGAAGAACGACGTGTTGGATCCGGACAATTCAAAGTCGACTGTCCCAAAATCAGACGGAAAGTGGTTTATTTGCCAGGAATGCCTTGGAAGTTTGGGATCTTGGAGCTTGGGTCACTGAAGCTTGCCAAGTTAGCGCCTTGGCAGCCTGAAAGCATGGGCTCTGGGGTATCTAAACTGTACTCGTCGGGGCCACAAAATCGCCTTCCGACCCACCGACTCCGCCGGTAAATCCGTACATTTGTAAACTCAATCCCAAATCACTAGTTATCCTTCTCCCCCCACAAACTACTCAATCCTCCGCTCCCGAAACCCCAGCCCGGCCACCCGCACCCTCAGCATCAGCGAACTAACCACCACACTCACACTGCTCGCCGCCATCGCCAGCGCCGCCCACACGGGATCCAGCCGCACGTGCGCCCCGTTGCTGACCACGGGGTACAGCACCCCGGCGGCCACCGGCAGCGCGACACAGTTGTACACGACGGCCCAGCCAAAGTTCAGCTTGATCCGCCGAAACACCGCGCGGCTCAGATCCAGCAGATCCACCACGCCGCGCAAGTCGCTCTTGACCAGCACGAACTCGGCACTGCTCACCGCGACATCCGCGCCGCTGCCAATCGCAACCCCGACGTCCGCCGTCGCCAGCGCCGGCGCGTCGTTGATGCCGTCCCCCACCATCGCGACCATCGCCCGGCGTGTGGCCGCCTCCGCCCGCCCACCGACCCGCGCCTTGAGCGTCGCCTGCAGATACCGGATCTTGTCCGCTTTGCCCGTCGGCAGCACGCCCGCGATGACCTGCGCGGCGGGGATGCCCAGCTGCGCGGCGACGGCGGCCGCCGTGCGCGGGTTGTCGCCCGAGAGCATCCAGACGGCGGTGCCGCGGGCGTGCAGGGCGCGGACGATGCGCGCGGCCTCGGGCCGGAGGGGGTCGGCGATGGCGAGCGCCGCCGCGAGCGTCCAGGGGGCGGAGGGCGGGGCGGTGGGTCGGGTGGCGATGAGGGCGAGGGATTTGGCTTGGTGGGTCCAGGCTGTGAGGAGGGCGTCGGTGGAAGGGGGGAGGGAGAGGGGGAGGGTGGCGAGGAGGGCGGCGTTGCCGACGGCGAGCTCGATGGTTGCGTGTGGTGGGGGGGAGGATGGGGGGAGGTAGGTGGCGCGCATGCCGTGGCCGGGGATCTCGAGGGGGGAGGTGAGGGTTGCGCGGGTGGTGGTGCGCGGCCCGCAGAAGGAGACGATGGCCTTGGCGATGGGGTGGCTGCTGTTTTCTTCGAGTGCTTTGAGGGCGGCGAAGAGGGCGTCGCGTTGGGACTCGTCGTCGATGTAGATCTCGTGGTCGGTGATGGTTGGCTCGCCGCCCATGGTCAGGGTGCCGGTCTTGTCGAAGACGACGCAGTCGATGCGGCTGGCCTTTTCGAAAGCTTCGCCGCCGCCCTTGGCCAAGATGCCGTGCTTGGCGGCAAGACCGCTGCCAACGAAGATGGCCGTCGGGGCCGCAAGGGCGAGGCCGCAGGGGCAGGCAACGACAAAGACGGAGATGGCGAACTGCAGCGAAAAGGCAACCCACCCCCCGGAGCTGACATCCAGGTAGTTCTCCGGGATACGACCGCTGAGCCCGAGCGAGAGCCAGATGATCCAGGTGAGCACTGCGATGAGCGTGACCACAGGCACAAAGTACGACGTCAGCAGATCCGCAACCTGCTCGATCGGGGCGCGCCGCGTCTGGCCCTCGCGGACCACATTGACAATCTGGTCCAGCATCGACTGGCCCGCTGCGCCAGTAATCCTGACCAAAACAGCGGCCGCCTTGTTGACGGTGCCCGAGAACACCTCATCGCCGGCCGTCTTCCTCACCGGGCGCGATTCGCCCGTCAAGCTCGACTCGTCAAAGTTGCTCTCCCCGCGCACAATCGTGCCATCTGCAGGGGGGGACGCGCCGTAGGTGATGCGCACCACGTCGCCAAAGTCCAGCAGGTCCGCCTTGACCACCACGTCGGCCTCCTTCCCGGTCCCGTACGCGTCGACGAGGATCGCGGTCGTGGGGCGCAGCTTGACCAGGGCCTCGACGGCGTCGCCGGTGCGCGACTTGCTGTAGCTCTCGATCAGCCGTCCCAGGAGCAGGAAGAAGGTCAGGAACACGACCGAGTCGAAGTAGAAGTTGGAGTCGTTGATCTCGTCGGGCCGCTCGACGGCGGCGGCAATCATCTGGCTGACGGACGAGATGTAGGCGATGGTGGTGCCGAGCGACATGAGCGTGTTCATGCTGCCGAAGCGGTAGAAGCGCTGCAGCACCGGCACGCGGCTGCCGCGCCGCCACAGCGTCCGGATCTCCTTGAGGGCGCGCCGGTGGAAGAGGTCCGCGGCGAAGAAGTAGACGGGCGTCGCCATGACGAAGAGCGCCATCTGCGCCCGGCTGATGCCCGACGTCCAGCCGGCCATCATGAAGTGCTTGGACCGGTTGCGGTCGGGCAGCAGGCTCATGTACACGATGCCGATGACGAAGGAGGGGATGCACACGATGCCGGTGAAGACGGCGCGCCAGAGGATCTGGAGCTGGTGGCTCCGCTGGATGCGCCGCGAGCGCTCCTCGAGGCTCGGCGGGTGGT